TCGTTGTCTTAGGAGCTGCGCGGCAGCTATAGCCCGGACAAAGCGGGGAGGAACGGAGGGACACACGTGCCCCCCGTGTTCCGCGCGAGCGCCCGAGGGATGCTTGGGCGCGCGAAGTCGTGGCTCGGGGCGCTGCCTACCAGCAGAAATTTCCGTGCCCCCCGTGTCTCGCTGGGGTGCCAGAGCCCTTAAAGGAGCCCGGCTTAAAGCCAACGCCCGGAGGAGAGGAGGGAGGCTTTTCCCAGGTGGGCACCCACGCGGACGCGCCACGTGGGGCTGCGTGGCTTGCGAGGCGGGTGACACCGTTGTCCTCGCCCCGTGGCAGCCCCCCGCGTGTCCGTCAGCTCCCTCCCAAGTGCTCGACTTCACACGTTCTCCTTGCCCGCGCCAAGGAGCGGGCTCCGACGTGGCCCCGCTGCGCTGGGCCACGGCTCTGCCCCTCCAGCAATTCGCCGGGGCGTCAGTCGCAACCGGGCTAACTCGCGGAAAAGCGCCGAGCCGTGCTGCTCGCAGTCCCCCCGGCCAGCTGCGTCCTCGCGGTGGCTCTCAGGTTCCCTTTGTGCGGCGAGCGGGGGCACAATAAAGTGCCTGTTCCCGGCCCCTCCGCTCCCCGGGCCGCCACAATGCGCTCGGGTCCCGGAGCTGCGCGGCTCGCACGGAGCCCCGTGCTAATCAATGGGTTTCACAGGGAGCTTAACGCGCCGTGGCTGCACGCTGAGCAGCCTTCCAGGGGCCCGCCGTGCCGTTCCTCCCTCCCCTTTACAAACAGCTTTGTGCGTTTAGGGTATGGGTTGGTTTTTTGGTTGGTTTTTTTTTTTTTTTTTTTTAAATAGTCTAACACATTTAATCATCTTTTCATAAGCTGTCAGTTTGCCGCATGTAAAAGTAGAGCACCGCGCTCTACCCCGTCTCCGAGCAAAGCTACCATGCCTGACAAAACCCGGGTCTAGTGCAAGCGCTTGGGTGCCATAAACTTCTCGCAAAGTCTGGAGTAATACCAAAAAATCAGTTTTTAAAATGCATGGGGTTTTTTGACTGCAGTTAAAACAGATCTTCCTCTGCGCAAAATCCTTGTTCCAGGGTTTCCTAATTCAGCTGCGCACCAGCAAGACTGGAAAAACCTCCAAATGCACCAAAAGCGAACCAAAACGGTTCCTAGGAGAAGGTGCGAGCTGCAGTGTGGGCAAGTTCCCATCCCCTCACCCTGCACCGCAGCCGGGGTCTGCGTCGGCCGCGGCACCGAGGCAGGGGGGAAAGAGGGTCGGGGGGCAGAGCTGGGCTGGGGGCAACCACGTTTGGGGCCTGGCGAAGTGGGAGCTGTCTCGGGGGTGGGAAGTGGGGGGTGATGAGCCTCTCCGGCATTGCTGGAGGAGGGCAGGTGATGGGGAAGGGCAGTGACCGGGGGAGCAGCTGCCTGCGCGTGGGGCTGGGGGGGTCACGGAGCGGAGCCGGCTGCAGGGAGTCCTCCCGCCCTCCCGTTCGCGCAGGACGGACCGTGCTGGGGGACCTTCTTGCTGAAGTTGTCTCCCACGGTGTTTTATTGTGGGCTGAGCATCCTGGAGAGGGAATTTCCCTCCGTATTGTCGTTTTGGACGTGTTCCTCCTGTTTCCTTCTGCCCTTTCTCGCCGTGTGCCCGGCCGAGTCCTGGAGCGTCGGGGGAGACAGAATGGAAATGCAGGCTAGACCTTGGAGCAGGCCTCAGCCTGAACACGAGTACTGAGAGGCTCCTGCGAAGTCGGCCCTGGGAAAAGCAGAGTTAATGTTTCTTTTTGGTAGTTAGAATAGTGCTTTGTTATGAGAAAAATGATGATAAGCGCACTGATGTTTTTTGGCTGCTGCTGGGAAAGAAGAAAGCAAGAAAACCGCCAGGACTTCATAATTAGCACGTAGCACCTGGTGTTGTTAAGCTGGTAGGAAAACACTGTAACTTGATGGAAAAGTGCTGTAACACTTAGGAAAGGTACAGAAGCAGCCTGCGTCCTGAAATAAAGCGTCTCGGCATCACCCGTGACCCGAGTCCGTGCCTCGATACGCCACGCTGCAGGAGCAGCCTGAAGCCGCCCTCGCTGAGATCCCTTGAAACAGGCGCAGGCTGCTCCTCTGCCCTGTCCACGCTTCGCAGGGCTCTCCCTCCCGGTGGCCTGCTGCTGCTCACCGGACTTTTTCTGTTCGGAAAGTCAACGTCCGCCTCCCCCCCCATCCAAAATAAACGAAAGGCTGATGAGGGCTGGAGGTGGATCTGAAGGGATCCCCAGGTTTCCCGGGAAGGATGCCCGTGCTCCACCTGGTCCTTCCATGGGAACACCTTCCTGAGAAACCATGGGCGTCTCAGGAGTTTAATGCTGGAGGTTAATAATAATCGCACCAGGCAGCACATCATTGCCCCCGTATCTGGTTGAGAGATTTACAACTGAAACTCGTGGCGGAGGAAGAAATTGCCTCAATCACTTGGAGTAATGGCACATGGAGAGGCACTTGGGCGTGACTGCTATTTAACACAAGAGCCCAGCTTGGCTTCATTTAACGTGCTGGTTCCTTTCTAATAAACACGTTACACTACAAGGTGGGGATTAAGATCAGAAAAGTAAATAAATTGGAAACTGATGGGGAGAGATGGGAGGGAAATGGAAGGTACTGGCGAGGACTGACGGGCGATTAACTCCTGTGCCGGGGCGTGGGGAAGCGACCCCAAAGGCCACAACGGTGGCTGCCCGAGCTTCGTTTTGGCATCGGGGGGGGGAAGCCTCGTACCCCCCAGGGCCAGGGGCCACTTCCATTTCTCCTCTTGGCTTGCGGATGCGTCCGGATCGGTCTCTGCCTTTCGGGACTGAGGCAGCCGCCGTAGGGGAGGTCACAGGCGCTGTGACCGAGGCTCTGCACCGAGGAGTCACCGTTTGTTCTGTATTTGCCCCGTGCAGCGTGTGGGGGGTGTTTCTGGGGGAGAGGGAGTCGGTGCTTGAGGTCATGGGCGAGTGTTACTGGCTTCTTCCCGCTTTATGCCTTTTACGGTGGCTGCGCCTCCTCGCCAGCAAGGGCTCTCCCAGCTCTGGGGGTGCAGGGAGGAGGGACCATAAGAGTTTGGGAGGCAACAGGGCCCGGGTACGGGCAGAGCCAGCATGGGCTGGTCAGAGGGGTGGGAGGAAGACCCTTGGTGGGGTGTGGGGTGTCCCGAGCTTGCTTTGGTGCAGCCCCCTCGACAGCGGCGGCGGGCGAGGGAAGAAATCCCCGGGCACAGGGGGATCCCTTCGGTTTCGGCTGGCCAGCGTGGCTCGTGGAAAGATGCTCACGCCTCAGCTGTTGAGCCAGCTCTTCCATCTCGCCTCGCCTCTAAAAGCCAAAGAACCGCCGCGCTCCAGCCCTCCGCCGCCCCAGCGGGTCCCCAACACTGAGTCCGAGGGGGACTGGGGCCCGCCGGGTTCCCTGCTCGGGGTCGGGAGGCTGGTCGGTCCCTTTCGCGAGAGGCAGCTGCGGGAAGCCGGTCTCTTAAACAACTCAGTAGCTTTTACTATATGTATTAGAGGAGCAACAAAAAGTGCAACGCACCAGTTGACGGGAAGGACTGGGGGGTTAATTTTCAGGATGCTGCCTGGGAATTTAGCCGTGGGATTTCCATTATTGCTAATGGGACTCATGCAGCTTAATTTCATGCAAGCTACACTAAAAACATACCCCTAACTGTCTGCAAAATTTCAGTCCTGAAATCAAGCCTTTTAAAAGTTAGAGGAGGGTAAACAAACACCTGAAACCACACTGTCTTGCTATTTCCTCCCTTTCAGTCATTCAGATTTAAAAGTCGGGGAGGGGGAGGAACTCGAGCAGTTTTAGGCAATTAAAAACCCCGTGCTGCAGGCACGCTGGCTGCCTGCGCGCCGCGTTCTCGCGCTCTGCCAATTACAACGGCAGAGTTACAACCCCCGAAAAAATCGGGGTAGCTGATGCCTTACCCTTAAGTATACGACCGCCAGCGCCGCGTTATCATACGCGTCTAATAACCCGAGCAGCGCCGCCTTTCATGGCGAGGCCGCTGTTATTAGGCTGTTTTCGTTAAATGACTGCTATCATCTGGTCCCAAAGTACATTAAATCCCATTATAATTATAAACACACTTCCCCATAACGTTCTCCTTAGATTACATTTGCGCTGCTTTACCCCAAGGGTATCTTTGTACTAATACCGCCCGTAGTTGTCGGTTTAGCTGGGGAGGCCGGGCGCCGTGCTGGTGGGCACTGGGGAGCGTGGGGTCGGCGTGGCGGCTGCCGTGCCATCATCCCTGGGGGATGACGGGGCTGCGCGTGGGCAGCGCGGAGCGCAGGCGGGACCCCGGTGAAGGATGCGGTGCCGGAGGGGGGGGGGGGTGTCTGGTGGCCTGCGCTCCACCACCGCCTTCTCCTGGGGGTGCTCCTGGGCGCGGGTGACCTCCGTCGCCCATCCCAGGGACCTGCTGCGTGTCCCGTCCGTGGGCGCTGCCCACCTGGGGTGTTTAATTGGGGGCGAAAAGGGCTTTATCGCAGCGACGCCCGCCGTGGCTCCCACCCAAAACGCATCGCTCTACCCCCAAACTTGGCTTTCTGGGGGATATTTTTTTTTTTTTTTTACCTTCTCCCCCTCTTAAAGCCGGGCCGAGCCGGGGCTGAGCTTTTCAAGCCCGGGGTTGGGGGGGGGGGGTGTTGGGGTGCGCGTCCTCCGTCCCCCCGGGGCCGCTTTTGTCTCGCGTGGGTGCGGCCCCGTGGGGGCAGCCGCGCTGCCGCCCCCGGTTCCCGGTGCTCCGGCTCCTCCATGTTTGTTGTCGGCAGCGCCGTCCGGCCGCCGCTCCGCGCCGCTCCGCGCCTCCCCGCAAGGTGCCGCGGCGGGGGCGCGGGGGATGCGCGGGGCGGGGCCGGGGGGGGGCGCCCGCGCTCAAGATGGAGCGGGCGGCGGGGGGGGGGGGGGGGGGGGGCGTGGGTGGGTGGGTGGGTGGGTGGGGGTGTGGGTGGGGGCGGCCTGACGTGGGCGCGGGGCGGCCCGTGGGCCGGCGCCGCGGTGATTTGCTGCGCGGCGCGGCGAGCGGCGGCGGCGGCGATGAGAGCGGGCAGTGCGAACTGCCGGAGCAGCCGCCGGCCGCCGTGAGTGCGGGCGGGGGGGCGGGCGCAGGGCTGCCCCGGGGCCCCCCCCGACCGCCGGGACACCCCCCCGGGCCGCCCCCCCCCCCTCGCCCCCCCCCCCCGGCCCGGGCCGGAGCCGGGCGGGCGGCGGGGGATGCGGCTCCTTCCCCGGGCGGCAGCGGCGGGGAGGCGGCTCCGCCGAGCCCAGCGCAGAAACTTTTCGGCGAGTCGCCGCCGAGCTGCGGGCTAACCTTCCTCTCCTCTCCTCTCCTCCCCCCCCCGCCCTCCTCTTTTTTTTTTTTTTTTTTCCCCCTTTTCTCTCTCTCTCCCCCCCCCCCCGCTCCTCTCCCCCCTCCGCCTTTTGTTTTCGCAGATAGTCGGCACACAAAGCTAGTCCCAGATTTGAGCGACGGCGAGGCACCCTGATGAGTGAGCCTCGGGAGCGCCATGGATTTGACTAAGATGGGCACGATCCAGCTGCAGAACCCCTGCCACCCCACCGGGCTGCTGCACAAAGCCAACCAGATGCGCCTGGCGGGGACGCTGTGCGACGTGGTCATCATGGTGGACAGCCAGGAGTTCCACGCGCACCGGACGGTGCTGGCCTGCACCAGCAAGATGTTCGAGATCCTCTTCCACCGCAACAGCCAGCACTACACCCTGGACTTCCTCTCGCCAAAGACGTTCCAGCAGATCCTGGAGTACGCGTACACCGCCACCCTGCAGGCCAAGGTCGAAGACCTGGACGACCTGCTGTACGCCGCCGAGATCCTGGAGATCGAGTACCTGGAGGAGCAGTGCCTGAAGATCCTGGAGACCATCCAGGCCTCCGAGGACAACGACGCCGAGGTCGCCGTGGCCGACGGCAGCACCGCTGCCGCCACCGAGGAAGAGGAGGAGAGGAAGTCGAGGTACATCAAGGGCCTCTTCGTCTCCAAGCCCGCCGGCGAGGAGAGCGGCTACGCGGGGCAGAGCCTGCCGGCGGCCGCGGTGGAGCAGAACCCCTCCGCCTCCGCATCCTTCGGCCCCCTCTCCGCCATGAGCCCCACCAAGGCAGCGGTGGACAGCCTGATGACCATCGGGCAGTCGCTGCTGCAGGCCGCCCTGCCGCCCGCCGCCCCCGAGGACTCGCGCCCCGCCGCCGCCCGCCGCCCCCCCGGCCTCGCCGAGGTCAAAACCGAAGCGATGCAGGTGGACGACGCCGGCCGCGACAGCCCCCAGGCGGCAGAGCCCGGCGCCTCCGGCGGGGAGAAGCCCGACGAGAAGGGCAGGGAAGGGCCCGGCACCCCGACCCGCGGCAGCGTCATCACCAGCGCCCGCGAACTGCACTACGCCCGTGAGGAGGGCACCGAGCCGCCGGCGGAGCCCGGCCAGGGGCTGCCGCTGGGCCCCGAGCCGGCCGCCGCGCCGGGCGAGAAGCCCCTCGGCATCTACTCCCTGCTGCCGAACCACAAGACTGAGCCGGTGCTCGGCGTGCCGCCCTCCGTGGCGTCCGCCCTGCACGTGCAGCCGGCCCTGGCCGTGTCCATGGACTTCAGCGCCTACGGCGGGCTGCTGCCCCAGGGCTTCATCCAGCGGGAGCTGTTCAGCAAGCTGGGGGAGCTGGCAGCCGGCATGAAGACGGAGAGCAGAGCCCTGGGCGAGCAGTGCAGCGTGTGCGGGGCAGAGCTGCCGGACAACGAGACCCTCGAGCAGCACAGGTGAGTGCCGGAGCCGCACCGCGCTGGCTGGGATCTCCTCGCGGCGTTTCGGGCTCGGGCGTCGCGCGTGCTGGTGCGAAGCTCCCGCCGTGTACCTTGAAACCGGGGACACACACACACGCACGCACGCACACAGGCTTGCTGCGACTTTCCCGGGTCTGGCGGCCGTGCCAGAAGGTTCCTTGCCGCGAGTGCCGGCTGGGAGAGCAGCCCGGACGGGGCTCGAGCTGTAGCTCTTCCCTGCCAGCACAAACCCCGCCGGCTTCCCCGAGCGGCTTCCGCCAAACGCCTCACCCTTGCTACCCCTTGAGTTCAGGGACACGCGTGTAAACAGCATGTAACGGGGTGCCGTGGGGTCGGGCTGCCCTCGCCCACCGTCTGCCGAGAGCTGGACCCTCCTGCGCCGGCACCCGGGCCAAGGCGGGGGGAGACCCGCGGGATCTGGCCGCGGCGATGACGTTGGGGATTGCTGCAAGCGGCGCCTCGCCAGCCCCCGGTAGTTTTACGCCGCTCGGCTCCCCGGTGTGTGGAATATTTGCACTTTGCACAAAGTAGCCCGTAGGTCAGGCTGGGGGACACTGGGGCGAGCGCAGAGGGCTCGTGCTGCCGCAGAGCCGTGGGTCTGTCTGTCTCTGTGGGGACGGGTGCAGGGTGGAGCCTCCAGCAGATGCAATTTTGGGTCTCCCCTGCTCGGGGTGGGGGGGATCTTTGTGCTCACCCCGAGCCCCCCCACCTCGGGGAGCTGCTGCTCTGCGGGGTGGGAGCGCGGCGCTTGTTATCAGCGCTTGAGTTGGGTGCTCCCCCCTTTACCACCTCCCAGTTGTGGGAGCGGGGACCAGGGCTCGTCCCCCAGTTTGGCTGGGTCACAGAGTCACGCGAGCCACCGCACCAAAATCGGCATCGCCGCTCAAACCCCTCGGCGAGCGCCGGGCGGCTGCGTCCTGCCTGGGGGAAGGCAGCGCCGGTGCGGTGCCGGAGCTGCTCGCGGCCTCCCCGGGCTGCGCACCGCGTCAGGTTTTTAATGAATCAACAGGTTAATTAGTCCTGATGTGCCTAGCGCGCTCCGGGCCGGGCCGTTGCGCACCTCCGGCGGGGGAGCCGGCGCTGCGGGATGCGCCGGGGCTGGCGGGAGCGGCAGCTTCCCCGCACGTCTCGCCCGGTCTCCAGCCGCCGCTCCGGGGCCGCGGGAGCTGCCGGCATCGCCCCTCGGAGCTGCCTCACGGAGCCCGCCGGGAGCAGCCCTCGCCCCCGGAGGGGTCCCCCGCCTCTGTGGGGGTGCGCAGCCGCTTTCGGCTTTGTTCCCCCGTCTCGCGGGCGGGAGGGCCGGGGTCGTGTCGCGTGGCGTGCCCAAAGCCGCCTCGGCGCGGCTCTTCCCCGGCTGTGCGGTGATGCAGACCGAACGTCACCGGAGGAGAGCTGCAGTGAAGGCTCAGAGAGAATTTTAACGTGCCTTTCTGCCACCGTCTCCAGCCTCTCCCTTTCCCCCTCCGCGCCCGAGAGCCGCGAGCGCGGGGGGGGGGCGATGCCGGGGACCTGCCCCGAGGCAGGGCAGGCCGTCAGGTCTGATCCTTCCCCGGGCGATGGGGGAACGTGGCCCAGGCTGTGCGATGCAGCAGCCCGGATTTCACCGTGCCTACCCGGGCTTGGCTTATTTTGACAACCGCGGCCACAGCCGTAGCTTATTTCTTAATTATTCATGATCCCTATCGGGGGGCTGGGTACGCGCCGTGCTCAGACGGGCTCGCGGGGCTGACCGAAGCGCAGGGCTGAGCACCGTCCCCGGCAAGTGAAGCCTTGAAGGCAGTTGCTTAAGCCAGTGCCAAACTCCGTTTGCCTTTTCGGGCTTTCAGACAATTACCTGGCACTGGCAAACTTTGCAGGGCGAGCCAAATCCTTTGAGCCGTTTTTAAACTGATCTGTAAGACCGTCCATGTTGAAAGGCGTTGAGCAACAGTCAAATGAACTTACACCCGCCCCCCCCCCCCCCCCCCCCCCCCCAGAAGCCTAAATCCAAGGGAGTTTGTGCATAGACAGGGTCTCACGTGGCTTTTTTTATAGTGTTTGCGTTGTGAAAATGACCGTTTGGGGGAGGATTTGTGGGCTCCCTATTGTATTCATGGAGCTGTTAAACTGCATCGACTCTAGATTGGGATCTGGAACTGCGACGCTGGCAGCCGGCGATGGGCTCCTCTTGGCTCCGGGGGGGGGGGGGGGGGTCCGCGCCCCGTGCCGAGGCCCTGGCACCCCCTCCCCGGGCGGGCTGGTGGCGGGGGCAGGATGTGCCGGGGGCACCGCGGTGTTGCTCCTCGACTGGCGGCTTTCGCTGACCTCCTTCTGCTGTGCATTTGCTGCTGCGGTTTTGCTTTCCGACGCTGTCAGAGTCGTCCCCCGCCGCGGGGAGCGGCCGGGGAGGGGCACCCCCCCCCCACCCCGGTACCGCGGGGTGCTGGGCGGCCCCGGCGGGGTGCTGGGCGGCCCGGGATGGCTGTCACGGGCAGAGCCCGGACCCGCGCAGAGCTGACGCCGCTCTTGCTGCGGGGAGCTCCGCCAGCCAACGCGCACCGCGCCTGTTTACATTGCACAAGCGAGCGTATACATATGGCGGGTATGTTTGTTTACACACGCACATGCCTCTATAAGTATAAATATATATGTTTATAGTCTCGGTGCCTTCTGAGTGTCGTTCCTGCCTTCATTAGCATGGGAAGCACGTGCCGGGCCGGCGTTTGGGGGGGCCCTGAGCCCGGGGGGACGGAGGGTGCCCCGGGGACAGCCGGGCCCGCGTGGGAGCGTGGCCCCGCGGCAGCATCGTCCGCGCCGTGTCGCAGCACGGCGACTCAAGCGCGCTGAGCTGTGACCTCGTGGTGGCTGCAGGCCTCGGCGCCGGCTCCGATGGGGGGGTTCGGCTCCCCAAACGCCCCAGCGGCTGAGCGATCCGCTGTTTTTCTTCTTTACCGAGCTTATGATTTTGACTAATTGAGTGTATATTGAATCGGTGACTCTCTAAGTTTTTTTATAAAAGATTTCCTTCTAGGTTCAGCAAAGTTCAAACTTAATCTAATGTTAGCATCGATCGCCGCTTCTAATTGCAAGCAAAAAAGCCATAGTTCAGCGGCCCTTTTTGGATTTGTTGGTATGAAGGAAAACCTCCCGCGCTGCGCCGTGCTGAGCCCGGAGTAATTTTTCATCGGGAAGTTAAACACCTTAAAACTTTATAAAAGATGTGCTCTCGTCTGACAGCAACGGGGAAGGCTGCGGGTGGTGGGGGGGTGCGATTCGCTAACGCTCGCGGCGCGGCTGCGCATCCAACACCCCGGTGCTGCCCGTGTTTGCCACGTGTGTCTGGGCGAGACGGAGGTGCTTGGCTGGAAAATGAAAGTGCTTTGGGGCCACGGCATCGTTGGGCCCGGGGGGGGGGGCGGCCAGAGAATACCCACTGGGAGTGGTTTTGGCTGGAAGGGGCCCGTCCTCGCTGCCCTACGGGGGGGGTGCGCCTCGGGGAAAGCCTCCCTTCCCCTTTTCGGGTCCGAGTTTGGCATTTTGAGGTTTCGTGGCTGAGCTGCCAGCTAAAAGCCGTGTGCTCTGGGTGGAGTCCGTTAAGGGCAGGAGTAAGGAGGCTCGCTCTTCCCCCTGGGCTGCTGGCCAGCCGCAGTACCCCCAAACTGCGGATTTTTGCCCCTTTTTTTCCCCATTTCTGAGGTGGCAGCAGCACCGGTGCGCGGGCCCAGGCGGGGTGGGTGCTCCTGCTCGGGGAAACCGCCGCTTCCCGAGGGGCTCCGGGTCCCGGTGACGGTGCCTGGCAATCCCCGTGGTGCGGAGCCTCTTGCTCCGGAGCTGTCGCGTCCGCACCGTAACACACCTCAAGGAGCGGCGCGGGGAAATGCTGCGGCGTTGGGCTCCTTCTTTGCCAGCCTCACCTCCATTCGTCTCCGCCTGGATCAGCTGAGCGTCGTACTACTAATGCCATTAGGCACGTTGGCACCGCTCGACATGTCACAGTGAGAAACAGATGCAGTATACCATTAAAGCAATAAACGTGATAAATCGGATCCCAAGTGCTTTGTGAGATGTTATTAGTGCTAATTTTGGTAGCCTGATACAGTAGTTGTTTTTTATTTTATTTTAAGCATTTGGCAATTTATGTTCCTCCGCCGCCGAAACCGTAAAAGCGGGAGGAAAAATAGAAAACAAGGGGGAAGGAAGAAAAAGACCAGCCAGCAGCCCCCCCAAACTCTGCCCGTGATTACTTCCAGAGTCCGAAGACGACTTGGCAGCTCTTGTTTCTTGCTGATGGGCCTTATTAGCGGCACCTGGCATCATAAGGGGCTAATGGAAACCAGCGTTCCCGGCCGCGGCCGCGCGGCTCCGGCAGCGCAGGGCGGCCGGGCGAGGAAGCCCTGATTAGCTTTATGGGCAGGGGGACGTGCCCCGCTCAGGAAATGAATGTTGCAGCTAAGGTCCGCGGCGCTGACCCCGAGCGTGTAACCTGTGAGCGCCGGCGGAGACCCCGCGCAGGATGCTTGGGATTTCGGGGGCTCTCTGGTTCTTGTCATAGGCAGAGGGCGAATACGGCGTGCTAGGTTGCAGCCTTGAACTTTTGATTTATTCAGTGGGGGACTTAACCATTTCCATACCCGGCTCCGAGCGCGGAGGGGGAAGAGCCCCCTTTGGCTTCCGTGCTGTTATTCCGTCAGTGCTTCTGCACCGCTTTCCTGGCGCGGGTGAGGCGTTTCAAAGCAAGACTCTGAGGTTCCCATCAGAAAACACCAGGTTTTACGCTTTTGGGACGTTTTCTTTCTCTCTCCTCTTGCCCAGCGATAACTTTTGTGCCTGGCCTGGTGGCGGTCCGGCGCGGCCGAGGGGCTCCCCCGGGGTGCGGGGGATGCTGCGTGCACCCTGACCGGGGCTGCCTCCCCCTTCCCAGCGAGGCCCCTTTCCCGGGGACTGGGGCGGGTGGTTCTGCGCCAGCCCGTCCCCCCCCAGCCACCCGGTTGGGACCC